TGGAGAGGAGGAAGTGAAAGAGGAGGAGGAGGAAGAATAGGAGGACAGTGGAGTCCCTGGGGCTCTCTGAGCTGGGTGGTTTACTTTTAGACGTTTCATGACCCAACTAGGTAACATCATCAGCGTTAGAGGGGAGTGGGGGAGGAGGAGTGTGGGGTGTTTGGGGAATGGATTACTGCAGTTGTTAAATTACTAACATGGCTGTTAAGGGGATCCGGCTTCCCCGTCGACTTGCTCGTCAGAAGGACGCAAAAGGGGTTCCTACGAACCCAGGACACTGCAATGGACGTAAGTGTGAAAACCGGTCCTAAGTCCCTTTTTTCCCCAGCGCCCTTGTACCTTTGAACGGTCGCTAAACAAGCTGTTGTAACTTGAGGACTAGCTTGTCAGTTTTTCAGTTGCATCGGCTTCTTGGGTTTGCTGAATACTTCTGCGTGCATTCAGCCTCTCTCCATCTCTCGTTTTTACCCTAACCCTGGAATGAGAGCAGCATATAGCGACGGAGGAGCTAAGTTGGCTCTACACATTTCTGAATAAAGGATCTTTCTGCATGCCTTTCTTAAACTGTAATGCCAGAACAACAATTGGTGGACATTGCAAGGGTTGTTGTTTTTTTTTTCTTCCTTCTCCCCTTCCCTGGAGCTGTAATCCTATTTTGCTCTCTTTATGCAGGAACAGACCTTTTCAAAGACAATATGGCAGGACGAGAAAGTGTCTAGTGCCCCCATACGATAAAGTTATTTTTTTTTTTGTAATACTTTATAACATGTGAAAATTCCAATTTCGATTGAACAGCGTGTGGCCTGGGTACAAATCGTTTCAGGAAATAATCCCGGTGTTTACAACAATATTCATTGCGTTAATATGAATAACAATAAAAGTCATACTGTTTGTTTAACCGAGTTAATGTGTCTTCCTAGTGTCTGGTGCCCCCATACGATAAAATTATTTCCGATACTGATTTGGGGTGGGTTGTGTGTGTGTGTGTGTGTTTTAATTTACTACAAGGAAGTCATTGCTTTTCAAAGAAATCTGGAATTCCATAAAGGCAAAAAACAAACAAACATGGAATTGTGCATGGTTCTTTTCCCCAGTCCAGTTTCATTTTGCAGCTCCTTGGAAGCAGGGTGGAGGGAAAAGTCATTATCCAGGCTAGCGGTGGGATTTAAAAATTTTTTTTACAATCAGTTCCGTGGGCGTGGCTTGGCTTGGTGGGCGTGGCAGGGGAAGGTTACTGCAAAATCCCCCTTCCCTCCCCACCCCACTAACCTGCTTTCCAGCTCCGTTCTCCTGTGCAGGGCAACTGAAGAAGGCCCAGCCGATCAGCTGGGACTCAATGGGAGGCGGAGAAGAGAAGGAGGCGGGGCTAGTCAGAGGTGGCATTTGCCGGTTCTCGGAACCGCTCAAAATTTCCGCTACCGGTTCTCTAGAACTGGTCAGAACCGGCTGAATTCCACATCTGTTTGGAGGGAAGAGAAAGGGAAGGATAGCACAGCAATGATTGGTGTCCGGAAGTTGGAAGTTTTTAAGAAGCGATTGGATAACTATTTGTCTGAAGTGGTGTAGGGTTTCCTGCCTAAGCAGGGGGTTGGACTAGAAGACCTCCAGGGTGCCTTCCAACTCTGCTATTCTAATTTCCTGTTAAAGATGGTACTGTCATTTGATTGCAGGGGCATCCACTGGAGCAGAGGCCAAAACTCTATTCTATTCTAGTTCTACTCTACTCTTATTCCTTATTCTATTCTGTTGTATTTTATTTCTATTCTATTCTGTCCAGTTGTGGGGTTCAAATGTTTTTGTACTGGTTCTGTGGGTGTGGCTCGGTGGGCGTGGCTCGGTGGGCGTGGCAGGGGAAGGATCCTGCAAAATCCCCCTTCCCTCCCCACCCCGCCAACCTGCTTTCCAGCTCCGTTCTCCTGGGCAGGGCAACCGAAGAAGGCCCAGCCGATCAGCCGGGACTCAATGGGAGGCGGAGAAGAGATGGGGTTGGCGGGGCCAGTAGGAGGTGGGGATTTTCTGGTTCTCCGAACCGCGGCTTCGGAACCGGCCGGCTCCCACCTCTGACCTCGGCCTCTTCGTTTGTGTTTTTCAGATCCCGCGAAGGCTTCGCCTGGAGCCGCGTCCCCCCGAACTCCTTTCTCCGCCCAGCCATGAGAAGCGCAGGATGAAGCTGGAGGCCGTCGTGGAACAGCTGCAGAAGCAGCAGCAGCAGCAACAGCAGCAGCAGCAGCAGGCGGCCCCTCTCCCCATGGAGTCCCGAGACCGGCCCCCGAGGCCGATGAGGGACCCTCCACTGCCCTTCCCTCCGCAGGGGACGCTCCAGCAAGCCAGCCTGGCCTCCCCGCCCGGCAAAGCCTCCGCCGGGCCCCTCCTCGGGCCTTCCGCTAGAATGGCCCCCCTCTTGGGGGCTCCTCGGACCTTTGATCAGAGCGCTCTGAACTCGGAAGAGGAGGAGGAGGAGGAAGAGGAGGAGGAGGAGGAAGAAGAAGAAGGGGAGGAAGATTCGGAAGACGGGGACCTGGAGGACAATGCCCCCAGAAGCGGCCAGGATGCCCGCTCGGCTCTCAAGTACTTTCACGCTTCCAAAGCGGTTTCCCACAACCAAAGAGTGACCCCGTCTTCTAAGCCCCTCCAAGGCCTGGCGGGGTCCCAGCGGCACCTCCAGGGAAAGGACCAAGCGGGGAAAGAAACCCCCAACTTGCTCTATTCCGCGTCCTCTACTGGGAGGCCCACGTGGCGGCTGGAGGAGCAGCACAAGCAGGTCAGTCCAAAGGTTTTGCACACACACACACACACACACACACACAAATGCCGTTGAAGCTTGTGGCTTGCGCTGCGTTGTGCGAGATGCGGCCCTTAGGCAGGGAAAGCCGTGCTGCGCCGTATTTGGGCGTCGGTTGTCCTTCCCTTTTGACTTAACAGTCTCCCGTCTCGCAACCGGTAATTGAGCCCGGCGCTTCCGTTGCTAAGCGAGACCGCAGTGAAGGGAACGTTGGTTCCTTTTTGGCGAACGTCCTTGCCGCCGTCGTTAAGGGGAATCGCCCGCGGTCGTTGAATTAGCGACACGGCTGTTCAGGAGAGTCTGACTTCCTCGGATTTTGCCTTACCAAAAGGTCGCCCCCTCCAAATGGGTCCCATCGCCCCAAGACACCGCCAACTGTCGTAACTCTGAGCCCCGTTGCCCGGCATCCAAATTTTGATCACCTGACCATGGGGGTTACCACCGCGGTCGCAAAGTGTGGAAAAACGGTTCCCCGGTGTCATCGTAACTCGGGACGGTCACTAAGCAAAGTGTTGTAAGATGAGGACTGCCTGCGTGAAGTTGGTCCCCTTGTTTTTATTTTATTTTATTTTAAGCCAGGCCCCTGTGAGGTAGTTGGACCAGAAGATATTCAGTGGGATTCTTTGCGGAGGCAAAAAGCAGGAATCTGGCTCAGAAGCCTTAAATAAATCCACGTTTGACTGCAGTCGAGCCTTTGATAATTGTGAGCTCTGGGAAGTGAGCAATTTTGTTTTAAGAAATCTCTTCCTCCTCCTCCTCCTCCCCTTCTCCTTTTCTCCTCCTCTTCTTCTCTTCCTTCTCCTCCCTTTTCTCCTCTTCCTCCCCTTCTCCTTTTCTCTTCCTCCTCTCCTCCTCCTCCTCTTCCTTCTCCTCCCTTCTCTCCTCTTCCTTCCCTTCCTCCTCCTCCTCCCCTTCTCCTTTTCTCTTCCTCTTCTCTTCCTCCTCTTCCTTCTCCTCCCTTTTCTCCTCTTCCTTCCCTTCCTCCTCCTCTTCCTCCCCTTCTCCTCTTCTTCCCCCTCCCCCTCCCTTCTTCTTCCCCCCTTAGCAACAGTTCCTTTGCATGTTTCCGTATTATTATTTTTTTACGAGCAGAAGCAAAAGCCAGAAACCTTCCTGACTGCCCCCCCCCCCCCCCCCCGTGAATTAAGCAAGAGGGAAACGCGCGTAGAAAAAAAAAAAAGAGACAGTGGGCTTCCTATTTATACAGACCCCAGGAAGCCTCCCCCAGTTTCCCCCTCACAAGTTGTGTTTGCAGTTCACACCAGCAGCTTCAGGGCAACCGGGCCTGAGAATAATAATGGGGGCCTTGTGCTTTCATTGGTGGCCAAAGAACCTTTGAAGTGTTGCAATTAAAAAGCAGGCTGACTGATGCAACTCGAAGGAGTATTTTACTCGTCCTTGGTGCAATTAGGCCTTTTGGCGCTCCGAATTCCAGAATCTTGAGACAGATGCACCCATCTGTCTCCGGGGTTGTGTACTGCCTGCACGTTGCACAAAAGTGTGCAAGGGCCGAGGGCTAATGGTGTCGGATTCTTACAGCAATTTAAATTTAAAAACAAAAACTAAAACAAACCCCCAAACAGCACTTTTTCTGGCTTTTTGAGCGCGTAATCGCATCCGCTTTTGTGGTGCGGTGTTGGGTCCTGCTTCTTGCAGTGTCTAGTGCTGTTGTGTGGGTGACTTTGAGGGGGCGGTTGTGAGGCTTCCCTTAAGTACCTAAGCAAGCATCTCCTGGGCCATGGTGAAAAGGCTGTGTTGAAAAGACAACTGAGTTGGCAAGCCGGTGAATCCAAGGAAGGCTCCTTCACAGCTTGTTTTCAGAAAAGTTAACTTGGCTACTTTTTTCCTTCTGTTTATTTCCCGCAGCATTTCAACGCCTCCGTTTTGCTGCCCAGCCTCTCAGACGCTGAGCACAACTGGTCCTTTGGAGAGCGGGTGCTTCAATCGCCCTTTCATATATATATATATATATATTTTCTTTCCAGGATATTTTGCCCCTCGCTTTTTGCATTAAATTTCTGCTCTGCATTCAGGCTCAGGAATGCAGCCCCTGAGGAGTTGAGCCTACTAACCCTTTGCTCTTTTCTCCCCTTTCAGAAATCTATAAAGAGCCATTTTTCCAACCTGGCCTTTAAAAATTAATTAATTAATTGATGTGCAAGGTTGGTTTTTTTTAAAAAAAAAATTATGTACCTATTAAAAAAAAAACAGAAATTGCCTTAGAAGTACAGGCAGTCCACCACTTACAACAGTTTGCTTAGCAGCCATTCGTTAACTACGCCGCGGGGAAAAAAGCGACTTATGACCATTTTTCACAGTTTCAACTTCTCACTTAGCAACATACGTTTGGGGCTATAAGGAGAAGATGAGAATAATGATGGGATAAATGAGACTACCGCCTGCCTAGGTGGTTTGACATTTGTTGCAGGAACTAGTTATTTAACAGCACGATGGCAGGGGTGGAGGAATATGCCAGAGGATTGCAAAATCTCCTTCTCCTTTTGCGTGTTTGCTATAAGCTTCGAGGACTGGAAGCTTATTCGTGTTACCGTAATTGATGTTTACGCAAGGGATATTTATACCTCCCCCCGGTGTATCAACGGTGCGCTGTGTGGGGCTACGTCGGAGAAGGGAACAAACAGCTTCAGTTAACAAACTGTTTGCTTTCTGAATCTTTTCACCGAAGCCAAAAAAAAAACACACACACACAGCAGGAATCACAGGTGGTCCTCGGCTTAACGACCACCCCGAGCCCCAAATTCTAATATTGCTAAGTGAGAAATTTGGTTTTTTTGCCCCATTTTTACAACTGTTCTTGCTACCGTTGTTTAAGGCAAGAGTCTTCCAACCTTGACCGCTTGAAGCCTGGCTGACTTCAACTCCTAGAATTCAGGCTTCAAGTGGCCAAGGTTGGACACCCCTGGTTGAAAGGAATTGCTGCCGTTGTTAAATTAGTAACAGGGATGTTAAGTGAATCCATTAATACGGTTCTTAAGTGAATCCGGCTGCCCCCGTTGAGTTTGCTCGTCAGAAGGATGCCAAGGGAATCTCGGGACCCCAACGGCACTGACCATCATAAATATGAACCATTTGTCAAGCATCTGTATCTAATCCCTGTGACTGTATGTGATCCTGTGAAGGGCACAGTCCGGCTGGGCATGCAGAGGAAGACCCAGGCCCACCCCCTCTTCATCATGGGGCACGCTGGGAGGAACGGAGAAGGGAGCAACCTGGCTTACAGGAGAGAAAAGGGCCCTGATCCCTTTCATTAGTTGCAGCTGGGAGAACAGGATATAAGAGGGGTGTTTGCACATAGCACCTTGCTGGAAGCAAAGCGTGCATTATCTTTGTGGAAGCTTACCCGGGTTTTGGCGTCCTCCTAACTGTGGGTGCTGCGTTATCCTTTGAAAGTCTGCCATTTATCATCCGGGCCTGCCGTGTTAATAATTACTTCAGTGTGTTTTATGTTGGTTTTTTTTAAATTTCTAGTTATCTTTACTTTGGGTTCAGACTGCATTTCCGCACTTCATAGACTGTTTTTGGAAGAGTTTGATCTCCAGCCGAGGAGAATTGGACATTGGGGTCAAGTTGGAGGCATGAAAGGGGATTTATTCTACTTTTGTGACTTCGTTATTTTTGTGTCACGCCCCCTTGGGTCATCACAGACCCCAATGGCGCTGTGACTGTCATAAATATGATCCGTTTGTCAAGTATCTGTATATAAACCCCGTGACTAGGGAGATGCTAAGCATGAAAAATGGACATAAGTCACTTTTTACCCCCAGTGCCGTAGTAACTTTAAACGTTCACTAAACAAACTCTGTAGAATACCTTCTGCAGAATACCTGGAGAAACCTACCTGTCCCAGCCATTAAGTGAAATAATCTTTTTTTTCCGCACTGTGAGTATGGTAGGTTGACTTTTGAATGAAAAGAACGGCTTTCTCCTCTTCCTGAACTCTCCTCAATTCCTCCAGCATCATGACTGGGAAATAAGGACGATGAACATTGCTTCCCGCACCCTCCCACTTGCAAATTCCTGCCCCTTAAAAAAAAAAAAGGATTTGCAGTTGGGATTGTTTGCGTGCCTCTTCACTTCTTCTCTCCAGTGCACACGGCCACTTTGGGGAGACGTTCGTTTGTTCTAAGAAAGTTTCCAGTTTAGCCTTTAAGGGGGAGCTTTTTTCCTCTGTGGGGTCCCCAATGGCTGTAAAAGCCAAGGCATGTTGTGGCATGGTGTCAAATTCCACACCTAGGACACCAAAACGATCTGGCCTGGAATCCAGAATTTCTTTAGTGGCTTTGTTGTAAGAGGCTGGTAGAAGTTAGCTTCCGTATGCATTGCGGGGGGACTGTTGACTGCAGGGTAATTGAATATACTTCTGATCAAGGTAGATTTAAATCACGATTTAAATCACTAGTAAAACGGCTTGATTTAAATCGACTCGATTGAAACCCCTAAGAGCCACTGTCACCTCCGTCCCGCAGCGGCTCCTCCTCCGACCCAACGTCGACTTCACCGACGGTCCCAGTGTTGCAGGAGATACAGCCTCGTGCTACAGAACTAAGCTCCACTTCGTGCCGCATAAACTAAATTACATCGTTTACACGTCTACCGTTGTAAACCAGAACGCTGAAATCCATTCTTATCATTTAATTCCTTGCCAGGAATTCTTTGGAGGAGCGTCCAGTCAAAGGCCGCCTTCTCCAATCCACTAACCCAGGATTGTGGCTGTCCATTCTTAATAGGCAAGATTGACATTGGGGTGGATGTCAAGTCACCCATTTTGTAAGATGAGACAAGCAAGATTTCCTATTTTGGTTCCTGGCAGCGGCTCTCTCGTCCCTTTAACGTGCCACGGGGGGGGGATGGGGAAATTAAATCTTTCCCCTACCCTTTGTAATGTTCTCTTTGTCAAGCAAGGGCTACTTAAATTTGTGTTTTGCATCGACCCAGAGTGGTGGGTTGATCTAAAAATG